CTTATTTCACACGGCATAATACCCTCAAGGTCCATCCGTTTTGTCACAAATGGCCGGATTTCATCATTTCTTATGGCTGAGTAGTAGTCCATTGTGTATAAATACCACATCTTCTTTATCCATTCGTCCCTTGATGGGCACCTAGATTGCTTCCAAGTCTTGCCTATTGTGTATAACGCCGCAATGAACATAGGGGTGCAAGTATCTTTATACCTTTGTGTTTTCAAGTTCTTTGGATAAATACCCAGAAGTGGAATAGCTGGATCATATGGTAGATCTATCCTTCACTTTCTGAGGATACTCAAAACTGCTTTCCATACGGGCCGCACCAGTTTGCACTCCCACCAGCAGTGAACGAGGGTTCCCTTCTCTCCACACCCTCTCCAACATTTGTTGTTTCCTGTCTTGTTAATTATAGCCATTCTGACCGAGTGAGGTGATACCTCATTGTAGTTTTGATTTGCATTTCCCTGATAGCTAATGATGTTGAGCATCTTTTCATATGCCTGTTGGCCATCTGTATATCTTCTTTGGAGAAATCTCTGTTTAGATCTTTTGCCCATTTTCTAATTGGATTGTTGGGTTTTTTTGTTGTTGAGCTGTATGAGTTCTTTGTATATTTTGGATATTAACCCCTTATTTGGTACGTGGTTTGCAAATATCTTCTCCCAATTGTTAGGTTGTCTTTTCGTTTCGTTGATGGTTGCCTTTGCTGTGCAGAAACTTTTTTGTAAGCAAGTTTAGGAAATGGTCAGTCTCCTGCTCCCACCTGCCCAAAGGAAGTTAAAGCTACAGCCTGCTGCTACATCTTTCCCAAGCGAACGTCTGAGAAAATCGGCATTGCTGGGAGCCTGCAGGAGCTGAGGCGGTGAGACAGCAAGACTGGGGCAGGGAGAGGCTGGCGGGGTGGTTCTGTCCTCCGGCAGCAACACTGCGCCATCCTCAGTCACCTCTTGGCCCTTGCCTGCCTGTCTGTCCAGGAGCACTTGGGGGTGTGGGGCGCTCACCTGGGAATTTAACTTGGAGGAGAGTCCAGCCTTACAGACTGGGCTATCCAATCCAGAAAATACTGACGGTGGCCAATACTCCCGAGCACGTTGAACTCTTCGTGAAGGGATCGTAATAAAATGATTCAGGGTCCTCGCCATGCCGGCCTATTTCTATGTGAACTTGACTCAGTCATTTACTCTTCTCCAATCTTCCTTGTGTGCTAGACCCTGCCTAATTCCCTCAGTTTAATGTGATCACCAAGTCAGAGGTGGCTAGTGATGGAGTCAGGGCCGGTGAGCACACACGTGTGGACAGGAAACACAAGTCTGGGCCAGCCAGAAGAGAGCCTCTCGGCAACACGTACACGCTGGTTTTGAAGGAGCTGCTGTGGGCCCCACCTAACATCTGTTTGAATCTTATGTGTTTGATCAATCCTCAAGCCTGGTGCTCACAAGCCCCTAACCCCTACCCCATTATAGAAGTATTATTTTATAGAATCCCACCCTCAAAAAGGCTTGCCAGTTTCCTTTTTGGAAAAATTATCACAGCATCGAAAGTGAGGGGTATAACACCAGGAGCTGGCACAGTTAGTCCACTATTGATAAACACTTAAATCTCTGCAGAAAATTCTACCTCAAAGTATCATATTGTTTAGCCACATTCTTTTTTTAAAATTTTTTTTTTTTGAGGAAGATTGGCCCGGAGCTAACATCTGTTGCCAATCTTCCTCTTTTTTTTTTTTTTAATTCTCTCCAAAGGTCCAGTGCATGGTTGCATATCCTAGTTGTAGGTCATTCTAGTTCTTCTATGTTGGATGCCGCCACAGCACAGCTTGATGAGCGGTGTGTAGGTCTGCGGCCACGATCTGAACCGGTGAACCCTGGGCCGCCAACGCTGAGCACGTGAACTTAACTGCTACGCCACCAGGCCGGCCCCTAGCCACATTCTTTTCCTTGGCTCTCTGGAGAGGAATAGGCTATAGGCTCTGCTATTTGAGATGGATGCAGACCCCCTGCTCTGTGGCCAGTAACAGTGTGATGACCAACAATAATGACACCCAAAGCCCCCAATCTGGGCAGATTTTCCCAATATTCAACCATTTATGTCATCACTGCATGTGGCCAATAAACTCACAGTCACTTTAGTGGTCTTTATGCCACAATATATCTTGGAGATAGCCTAGCAAGTGGGTGTGACCTTGGGGATAACCTAGAAAGTGCAATTGGGGTTAAATTGAGATCGTTTGGTTCAATTGCCTTTTGCAATTTTCCACTAATTGGGCCATTCTTCATGGTGTAGAATTTTGGGACTGAATCAGTGAAACATCTGCATGCTCCCAAACTTCTTATCGAGGGAAGTCTGCACTCTGTCCATGGGCATCCCCTTGAACACCTCTTCCCATTTTGAACCCAAGAATGCGGACTAACTCAGCTGGTAGGGATCCATAGCTCCCCAACAGCCTGGAACAGAGCAGACCCACTCCAGGGACCTGTCAGTGACCACACCTGGAACTCGCTGCCCGTCCAAACTTGTACCCAAAGCTCGGGTGTGAAAATAAGGTGGATGAAGGATTACAATGAAGGTCATGCCATCTCTCCATGCTCCAGTAATTCCCATCCATTCCTAGATTAAGCCACTCCCTTAGGGAACCATGCACTTGCATGAATAGTTTCAGTTCCCAGGAGACTGGCATTAACTGCACTGCACTTTAAAATGACATTGGCTCTTGCTTGCCATACAATTACGTAACAGAGCCCCACTGTGGTCCCTGCCTGTATATCCACGCACACAGGTTACAAAAAAAAAAAAAAGATCAAATTGGCAAACACCAAGGGACATCACAAGAAGCAGCCTGGGTAGGAGAATTTTTGAAGAACTCACGGTGATCACGTAATCAAGAGGCTGGGATGAACAGTAAGCAGGCATTAGCTCTCCTACAGGAATTTCCCAGTACACACTGTTGTTACAATTTTTCCCTTTGGCAAGAAGCCGCAACGTTCCTCTGATGGAGCCCGGGCTCAGCGGGTGAGTGGAAGGTGACATGAAATTATCATTAAGCTGATCTCACTTTTTACTAGTCAGCGAGCCCTAGCAAGACGAATATTTTGATTACACCTCTCTCTCTGAGTAAGATAAAGCAACCAGGTTGATACTCAGACCTTGCTCTCTGAGAGCGTCTTAGGAAGAACTAGGCCAGCGAGAGGGCAGCCTCCCTGCTCATGGAGCAGTGCTGGGGAGAGAACCCAGCGAAGACCGCACTGCTCTGGTGCTCTGACGGACAGGAGACGGGTGTGCAAGGGGCTGCAGAACCAGAAAGACCTCCACGGGGCACAGGCGGGCCTCCTGGGACCGGTACTAAGTCTCTGATGTGGAGGCCACCTGGAGGAGCAACCTGACTCTATTCCCCAAATAATCAAGCACAAAGGAGTTTCCTCAGTACGGTAAATACATCTCTCAAAAGTCTACCTAATGGTGAAGGGGGGGGAGGCATCCCCATCAACATCAGAAACGGGCCAGAGATGCCTAATGAAACACCTGCCCTTTAACGTGGTCCAGAGAAGCGAAGCTACTGCTGTAAGACAAGGGGGAAAAGGCAATTCACCCCAGCAAGCAGAGGAAACAACAAGGATACCACTTGTCATCTAGCCTAGTATGGGGGGAATATATGTATACAATTTTTAAAGGTACATGTTCACGAGAGTTCAGGGAAAAAGCCCTCTGGGATTTTGCCAGAGGAGATAATAGAGAGGATAACACTCTTTCCAGGAATTTGGCAACATACACCCAAGGCCACGGAAACACACACAGCTCAGGAAGCTGATTTGCTAGGAATCTTTCTGAGGGGAATGGACAAGGGCATAGAGATGTAAATAGAAGACAGTGATTAGAGTTACTTCTAACAGTAAAAATCATTCGAAGGAAATCGATTTGCCAAATGTCCAGTTTGGAGACACTGTTAAATCCATTAGGGTTCATCTGCACAGTGACTATTATAGAACCATTAAAAATGGTGGTATACAAGGATATTTGTTGACATGGGCAATGTGTGTGCGGTCTATCATTATCTAGGAAAGCTGGCCACAGACGGCGTGCACAGGGTGGCCACGTGCCTGTGGAAGGAAAAAGCACATGTGCATAGTAATGCCTGGGAGCACACGCCCCGCATGCTGGCAGTCACGTTCTCTGGGTGGTATTTGGGGAGTGGTTTAGATTTTCCTCACTATGCTTATTTCTAACTTCTTGTCAATAACCCTGCAATTTTTTCAAATGTTTAGAAATTTTAAAATTAAAAGCTTGACACAGTGATATAATCGGATGTCCAGCTAACACTGCATATTCAAATCTACACATTATCTACATCGAGGCAGAGAAGCATCATGCAAGATTCATGGAATGTATTGTTATGAAACTACTATCAACGTTCCAGATTTTATCAAGGCTTCTAAAAGAACTCACTATGGGTAGAATGTCTGCATTTTCCTCCCAAAATAAAATTGTTTTTTACTCTAATCACCAAGATAACTGACACGTTTTATCAACACAGAGAGAAAAGTTTCCTTATAAACTGATATGTGTCTGTATTTGACAAGAAAAACTGAGTTATGAGTTGCATTTAACTTATTGTTTTTGTTCTCAGCTGCTCAGAGCTGAATCCTGGCTTCCAATGCCATTGTCTCCTTTATCCTAGATTTTCAGATAGATGCTCTCTTCTCTTTCTCTCTTACTCCTTGCTCATTTAAAATTTTATCTCATCTGTGCGTTTTATTATGATTCTTTGTGGAACTTGAGAGCCATAGATTGTTAGGGAGGGGAAGAGAGGGAAAGACACATGGTTGGATGGAGTGCGAGGGACATATTCTCGATCCCACGATGGAGCAGGAGACCCATTACTACTTTCACTTCAGAGGGGAGAGGCCTGACTGGGCATAGGACCCTCGTCCACCCCGCCGACCCCCATGGTGTGGATGCTGAGGTCCATCCTGCCATCTGCTCCCAGGGGAGACACTCACATGTAAACTCGGATGGTAGGTCAGCACGCCATTGTCACACAGGGTGACATATTTCTTCTTCCATTCTTTGTTCAGGGACTTGCCACTTCGCTTCAACAGCATGCCCTATAAGGGAAAAGGAGCCAGATATAAAGCCCCGTGTAAATTAAAAAAACAACAAAAAAGCAGGCACATAGGTAATTTTAAAAAGTTTAAATTTTCATGTTATCTCTGCCATCTTAAAATGGAAATTACGCTCGTTGGCTTGGTAGTTTGGTTTTCTCCTCTCTTTTACAGACAACATAGATATTCAACAAACTTCCTTTTGTGTGTGTAGAACTTAACTTTGTGATACTGATGATACTAAGAGATGTGCCATCAGTTCAAAATTATAATACAGATCATCATGACGTGCCACGTTACACCTCCCCTATAACCAAGTTATGAGTGCATATGGAACACCTAAAGGCGTAAGGTTTTTAGAAACCTAAATTTCCTTTTCTAAAAATAAGACAGTAACCACATTCTTACCTTACAATATTTACAACTAAGGACATTTTATTTTACAGGTTTTCATTTCAGACTTTTAGTTTATTAAAACATGAAATTCCATTTGCATACTTAGTAACAGCATTTAATAGATGAATTGTGTATAATTTACTTTAATCCCTTTTTTTTTTTTTGAGGAAGATTAGGCCTGAGCTAACATCTGCCAGAAATCCTCCTCTTTTTTGCTGAGGAAGACTGGCCCTGAGCTAATATCTGTGCCCATCTTCCTCTACTTTATATGTGGGATGCCTCCCACAGCATGGCTTGCCAAGCAGTGCACAGGTCCATACCTGGGATCTAAACTGGTGACCCTGGGCCGCCGAAGCAGCACGTGCAAACTTAACCGCTGCGCCACTAGGCCAGCCCCCCAGCTGGGTTTTTATTACTTGACCCCCCGACCCCCTAAAAGACAGTTGGGGAGACTAAGCTGATCAGCCACGCTGCTTCCCATGTCACAGCCACACCCGCATCAGGCCTGCCCAGCTGACAGTGTGGGGCAGCGCTGGACCAGGTAAGATGGGCTTCCCTTCAAATGGCCTGAGTGCGAACGCACTGATGCATCTCCCAGCTTCGGATGCTCACTCTCTCACCTGCTCCCCATGAGCAACAGGTCAGGGTAGCAAAGCTATTACGGCTCCCGCGTTCCAGACAAGACTGAGGCCCAGAGGAAAGGGAACTTGTCAGCCGATGGGAAGTGCCAGGACCCGCCGCCCTGCCCTCTTCATTCCTGCCACTACGCTGGGCTGCTAAGTTCCTACCTGTGGGCAGTGCCCACACTGGCCAAGCTTCCAGTGTCCCCCTACTGCCTGGCCTAAAGCCGTGAGTCCTGAACCACCAGCTCCTCCTTCCAGAGCGCAAATGCCAAACCTGAAAGGCGGGGTGGTCCGGGGCCGGCAGGCACCTCCAGCCCGATTCCCCTCCCGGGAGGGCAGATGGAGTCCATGATGCAGGGACTGATTAGACTGTGCACTCACAGAGGGAGGGAACAGACAAACATCACTCTACCGTGAACGAACTCCAACACAGCCCTTAAAAGACATGGTGGATGGATCCAGGGAAGGGATTTCCGTTTGCTAAATCTTAGAGGACCCGGGAACGCTCCAAACTCTGAGTGTCTTTGAGAAATGGGAGAACAGGACGAGGATCTATGGACGCAAATCTCAACTCTACGAAAAAATCCCGGGAGTGGGGTGATCAGAACTGTTGCTAACCATGAAGGTCAGACCTGCTTAACGGCGTGGAGGACGTCAGCTAGGACAAGGCGGGATCACGTGTTCCCAAGAGCGGGGGCCCCCGGGATCTGCTGACCCTGCAAGGAATGCAGGGTCGGTGTCTGTGCTGCCAGCTTTCCTGATTACCCAAGAGAAGGAGGACAACTGGAGTTTTATGTGACAGCTCTTTACTTTAAAATACTGACAACAGAGTATACACTATTTGCTTGTAATACAGGTCAAACCAAACATGTCTGCAGGCTGGATGCACGCAGGCTTCGGGTTTTCGACCTCTGGCCAAGAGAGCCAGAAGAAGATAGTGGGATTGGACGAAGGTGCTGGACCTCCCACAGCTGGGCCACTTGGCACCTCTGTCCTATCACACAGACAATAGTCATCCCCAGACCTGCGCCTCCTCGAAGGGCCAGTCCCGAGAGAGCCCAGGACTGTGGAGTTAAGGCCCACAGCTCTCTGACATCAGGGTCCACTTCTACGCTGACACGTGTAAACCTTTAAAGAAGTCAGCCAAAACACCCGGAGAAATTAGCAAACTGTCTATTGTCTCTCTAGAAATGATAAAAAGAGCCCCATCTTGAAAAGCACGATGAGACTCGAGTCCTCTCATGAGTTAAGGCATGTGGCTAGGGCTTCTGAGGCGGCAAGCAAGACGAACCTTTCTAATCAGGGGTTCAATCGGACTACGAATGAGGAGACTCAGGGAACAGCTTCTGTGGCTTAAAAACATATTTTCTTTTGCTTTTTTTTTTTTTGCTTAAATTAATTCTGAATGCTGATTTTTTAAGAGTATTTGTACCAAATGAGAACCACAGAATTTCAGAGTCTAAAGAGACCCCAGAAGTTAAACCATTCAGTTCTGAATCTGCTAGACTAATATTTTTGCACCATCCCTGCCTGGAGTCGCCCAGACCCTGCCTGAGCAGGCCTGTGGTCAGGGAGCCCCTGGGTCTGGACAGCTCGAGCTGTCTGAGCAGGAGTCCACTGCCCTCCCGGGGCGAGCCTGGCTCGTAAACTCTGGAGCTGCAGTGAGAGACTGGAGCCTCTCCCCAACACGCCCTTACGTTGAGGGGCCACAGAGAGCCGCCACAAAGCCCCAGGGAGATTGGCCCATCACGGGGCCACGCAAGCCAAGCTCCTTAGCCCCAGACTCCTCCCAAAGCAAAGGCCCCAGGTGCTCTGCCACTGTGGGGCTCTCCTTTGAACGCGGTCAACATCCCCCACAGCACCGAAGGAAGAGAGCAAACCATCGCCTCCCTCTGGGATGGGCTTCTACTGATGCACCCAGAACACCCCAGCATCCCGGCAGCCCCTCACTGCATCAGGCTGAGCCCCCTAGACTGTACCCCCTACGCTTCCGTCGTCTCGAACTTACACGCTTTCTACGCTAAGTACCAAGAAAATGGAAAACCCTAAAACTAGTCCATTTTAAACTTTTAAAGAACACGAAACCATGATCCCACTAGCCAGAGGATGACAGAGGCCGGAAGGCTCTGTGCTACAGACACACGGGCGGGCAGTTCCCATCAGCGAGTGCAAATGGCCCTTATGATTCTAAGTCTCTTTGATTCTCTGTGACCCAGGGCAAAGCTGCACGGCAGAATGTCAAAATGCATACTCGGTCCATCTTTCAGATGCCACTTTCGTACATGTAAAAGGCATCTCTCGCTTAAGATTGTTTCTCACTGACTAGCTACCATGGCGTGGACATCAGTTACAGTTAACGTTTTACGTGACTCTCACGTGGCTTATGCATCTACTTAAAAAATTATTTCAAAACAATTCTGGACTCACTGTGAGCCAGGTGCTGCTCTAAGAGCCTTATGAGTATTAATCCATTACAAGTTTACAATGACCTGATGCAAGTGATGACCATGATTATCCTCATTTTACAGCTGAGGCCACCAAGGCACAGAGAGGTTGTGTAACTTGCCCAACTAGCACAGCCAGCCCAGTAGCTGGTCTCAAGATGGCTCCCAGTGCACCACCCTTTGTCTTATTCATGCCCCTGTTTAAATCATCCTGACCTGGGGATGCCCGAGTCTCACTTTAACAACAGAATCAGCCTAAGAGATGCTATCTACACTGGCTTTAAACCTTAAGAAATCCCAGTAGCTTCCATTTTGGAGAGCTCTGACAGAGAAGCCATCCGTGCTCTGAACCACCAAATGATGCAAAATAATAATAAAAGAAAAGTTTCCTCAAATCCCTAAGTTTTGGGGTAGATTCGTACGCAACAATAGACAAGAAAGACATCCTGTATTGCTGTAACAAGAATAAAAACCCCGTGGCACGTGGGCCTGGAAGAGGCAGCTGGCTGAGCCTGGCAGGGTCGTAAGAGCCGTTAATGGAACGTGGCAGGCCAGTGAGGAAAATGCTACTTGAGGTTGGAAAAAGGAGGTCCGAGCTGTGCACTGGCAGAGCAATCAGCAGATCTGCTGCCCGCAGGAATGTGCAGCACGGCCAGGGTGCCTGGTGAACCCGTGGGCCTGGCTACAGAGATTTCCCAGCAGAACGCTCAATGTGCTACTGGCTCTGATGAATCTGGGAGGAGTGAGAGGAGTGAGAGGGAGTTTTCAAGCAGAATTAGAAAAAGATATTTCCGATTTTAAAACCACGAGAAAAACCGTTTTGCATTCCCAGCTTCTCCTGCCAGTAGAAAACTCTCAGAGTAAGAACTGGCCTCAGAACGAGGATCGAATCCCAAGGATGCTGGTAGATGTGATCTCAGAATGCAGACCCATCAAGGGTGTGGCAGTCAGACCCCCTCAGGAGAACTCAGAAACATTTAAAGCAGGGCCTCCCAGACCCTTCCAATCAGAGCAGATCTGTGGATTAGAGATAGGGATCTGTGGATTAGCTTTTGTCTAACGGAATGGATTTAATTTGATACAAAGGACACCCACAAGGTTTTTAAAGGAATTACACCATGTTGGTCTAAAAGGCACAGAGAAAGTTCAAATTGAAAAGAAGCATCTGGGACCTCGACCTAAGTACAGCAAGAAGCAGGCTGAGAAAGAGGCACGGTTGTGAACACAGGCCATTTCTTATGGAAAAGGAAGGCCTACTGAGACAGCAGAGCCCAGGGCCAAGGAGATGCCCTCCAGGAAGCAGAATACACACCCTCGGTGCCCAGAGCAGGGCGGGTTAGCAGCATGTGCCCAGCTGGGCTGAGAGCTGCTATGGACCAGTAACTGCTACAGGCCTCCCATCCCTGTGTCAGCACTGTGTGTGTGTGCATATCCAAGACAACTTATCTCGAGTACCCTGGTCTTCAGGTGGAAAGGATCATATCCGAGGCGCCCCATCCACATGGGTACCTGATGTAAACAACAATCCTGGACTCCAAGC